GCGGCGTTCCCGCCCCGCCCCTGCCGCTGCGGGAGAGACCCGGGGCAAGGCCTGCTGGGAAAATGGTGGGCTTTCGGGAAGGAGGGGGCGACCTGGGCGGGGTCCCGGGGATCAGGGCCTCTCGGCCTGAGTAGGTGGGAGGACCTGGTCCCCAATCAGGAAAAGGCAGCTTTGAGAATCCGGGGCTGGGGTTTTGGTCCCGCCACCAAATATGCTGACTCGACTGTCTTGCTTGTCTCTTCTGAATGACTGTGCTCACGAAGGCCGTTCCCAACATGGACAGATCCTGCCAAGCAAATGAGCAGCCACAGGGTTTGCCCGAGACGGACGAGGAGCAGCCTCGGGCGGAGCCCTCGCCCGAAGAGCCTCGTCGGGAGGAGCCTCCTCGGGAGGAGCCTTGTCCGGAGGAGCTTTCTACCGAGGAGCTGTCTTCCGAAGAGCAATCCTCCGAAGACGAGTTCTTTCCCGAGGAGCTCCTTCCCGAGCTCCTTCCCGAGCTGCTGGTGGCCGAGGGGCGCCCTCTAGAGGAGCGCCTTTCCGGGCCGGACCTGTTCGAGGCGCGCCCTCCCATGGAGCAGCCTCCTTGCGGAGTGGGAAAACATAAGCTGGAAGAAGGAAGCTTTAAGGAAAGGCTGGCTCGCTCTCGCCCGCAGTTTAAAGGGGACATACACGGCAGAAATTTGAGCAACGAGGAGATGATAAAGGTAGCAGAGGAGATGGAAGAGATGAAAAGAGTACGAAACAAATTGATGATCATGCACTGGAAGGCGAGACGGAACCGTCCTTATCCTAGTTAATGTGTCCGGCCTTTAATGCTGGTTTGCCTAATTTCAGTATTGCCACTCGAATCCCTCTCGCCATCTTCTTAATTTTAACTTTTTTTTGCATGGCTTTATTTAAGGTGTTTCGCTTGTAACTGGTGTAAAATTGGGCTTCCTTCCCCTCCCATCTGCAAGTCTCCCTATCAATCATGTCTCATCCATTTGCATGGAAAGATGGACATTATATATTGTGAAGTGAAAAAAAGCAATTTTCAAAAAGTATATGTAGTATCCCATTTTTGTAAAAAAATGTATATTTATATATTAATATGCAAAGTAAAACAAAGTATATACTTCAAAGGCTTAACAGTGGCTGTTTTGTGGTAAGATAATAGGTGTTTTTCATTTTTGCTTTGTTGGAACTTCTCATTTTTTCAGGACGAACACATTGTACTTGTGTTGCAAAAAATTCCACACCCCCAAATAATGGGGGAAATGTCAAGCAATTTATACACTATCACCTTATAAAGACAATGTAGCACTTAATAAATACTTGTCAGAACTTTGAAAAAGTAAATCCCATGTTTCTTCTGAATCTCAGGCAGAAATATATATTTAAAGGTCAATCTTTTCCCATTTAAATAGAAGTAATACTTGACTCACAGGGCTGCTGTGGAACCAAATGACGTAAAAATCATGTGAGCTGTGTGTTTTCCCCGACCTGCAACATTCAGGACCCCAACCCCTAGAGCAAGCATGTCAAACTCGCGGCCAGGAAGGAGGGCTCACTTGCACTCACAATTCCTGTGAGATTCCAGGTGAATGCCACATTTTATTCCTGCCCTGCTATTCTCTTCCTGTGGATACTGTCATGTCTGCTAGGCACAGCTGTCCTTCTCTTGGGTCCTGCTCCTTCCATGACCCCCATCACTGGGTGCAAAGTCTCACTAATCCCTCTGGAGTCCCTGCTGAGCCAAAGCTGAACTGTGTCTCCTACAAATATTCAGTGAATGCCCCTCCTCCAGCTTTAATATTATACTTTCCCAGGTGGATACCATCCCAGTGCTGCTTAAACCTCAATGTCTTAAAGAACTCTTAGCAAAATAGTCCTTCCTATTTTTTTTTCTGAAAGCTCCCCTTTTCTCCATGCACTCAAACATGAGTTCATTGGATCCTGGCTAGGAAGCAAACTTGTGAGCCAGACACAATGATGTGTACTTAGAATTGGAACCTCCCTCCCAAATAATCTCCAATGATTTTGGTTTTAATTGCTTTATACTTGCTTTAGGCTGAGCTCTCTCTGGCAGGCTTGCCTTAACAATTCAGCTGACTTGCTCAACTTGTTTACACTAAAGAGGAAAGTAAGGATCAAGCTTGGACTTTTCCTTTCTACCCCACCCATATCAACAAAAGTGCTTTATAAGTTGTTAAAATTATATATATATATAGTAAAAAAGAATTCAGACCTGTAAAGAATTTTTGTGAATTTATTTGAGCCAAACTGTGGACATATGCTGAGAAGCAGAACCTCAATGAATTGAGATAATGCTCCGGAGAATGG